AATCCAATGTACATGATGAATAGAACTAGAGACAGTCACAAATAACCTTCCTTTTAACATACCATACAGAAACAATATGAATTTGCTAATTCACAGTCCCTCTTGTATATTTAAAAGTTAAAGACAGTAAGCATATAGAATTCTGTTATTTGGTAAAAAGTAAAGTAATAAAAGTAGTTTGGGGATGACTATTATTATCTATTCTATATCGTCCTATTATATCCACATATGTCGTGATAATGAATGATATCACGTTTACAGCAAAATAACATATCAACAACATAAAGGTTCTTAGCCATCATTGGACACCAGATGACCAGAGCATATACATGTACTTAATTTGTGTTCAAACTAGCTCCTACTCCTTAATATTGTGAACATATTAGATGGATCAAGTTGGCCTTTTAGTTTTTGTTTTTACTTTAAGGGTCTGACCCCAAATACATGTATATTGAATGAAGCCCTATCAAGGTGAGTGAATGTGATCATGTGTGTGGTTAGTACTTATGATGTACATTATATCATTACACTGACCTCTGGGATTTACTGTAGAGTCTGCTTCTACTTGCTCTACGGTAGTTGCTTGTGTATCATCCTCATCACCATCATCACTTTGTACAGTATCTATACATTTCTTGGGTGAGCAAGCAATCAATTTCTGGGCTTCCTCGAATTTTACTTTGAACTCATCAGCGACATCTGGAGTTTTAAACTTCACAGCTAGTTGTTCTGGCTTGGGCTCTCCATCTGAAGCATCAAGAGCATTCCAGACCCATGACCGATCAGAGCCTGCATTAGGAACTAAGGTCATCTCAGATGTTAAGTAATGATTGGCACATACATTGAACACTCTTTCACGTCTCATCAAAATCCGTACATGTCCATTCTCTTTATTTTGAAGAATTTTCAAATCTCCAGTCCCACGATCCTTCCATTGTTTCAGCTCCTGATCAAATCTGTACATTTTGACTCGATGAGAATATAATATATGCTCATCTTCTTCACCAGTTACCAAGTCTACATTCTCTGGTAAATGGGCAATTGGTTCAAAGTGAATACTATCTCCTTCCTCTTCAGATTTATAATAACTGTCATCTTTTGAGTCACTGTGTTTGTATTGTGCAGGGCTGTGTGCTTTGTCTGGGCTATCAAGTTTCTTGGGACTTAAAGCTTCTTCCAAGTTTATAGAGAAAGAGAATCCACTTGTATCTGATTTAGCAGCTAAATCGAGAAAAGTTGGACCACTGAATGTTTTGGACTTTAGCTCTTCATTCACAGTTGTACTAGATAATTTA